CTTTAAAAATAATGAAACCCTTGACGTCACGAAGAAAAGTTTATGTAAATCTCAACGCAAAACTAGCAATGTTGGTCGTATTAATGGGCATGACGATTACATACAAAGATTAAGCATTTTGTTTACGCCCTGAGGATCACACTGAAACATTAAAAATGTATCAAAGAGGTTTGTTCATGCAAACGTAAGCAATCAGATGAATGGCCACGCCCGTGTTAGTCTCTCACGGCCCCAAAAAAAAACACCTTTGGCTCCGAGCACAACAGCTCCAGACCACAGAACCAACTGCGCAAATCAAGCCGGACCACTCTGAAGAAGGAGGTGACAGACGAGCCGAAACGTCGGAATCGGTCAATAGCTCGACTGACCAAATTGTTTATTTGTATCATGTGTAAATGACCAGATTTTACACATTTTTGGTATGGCGACTAATGAGTTCTCTTTCTCAGAGAGATTGATTTTGATTAACACGGAATTGACCTTATATCCCTGCTGTCCTATTGTTAGTCACCTGATAACGGTTGAAAGTCTGAACGTTTATTCTTCGTCAATGAATGGTCATATGAATGATTCTTGCCACAACGAAACAGAAAGATGGTAGTCTGTTTTGTAACTGTCGACGATTCAGCCAAGCTGAATTCCTAGCTGACAGTATTTCTGTCTCTGAAACGTCGGCCGTTATAATAAAGATTATTGTATGGTTGCTTCCTCGTACCAAGAATCACTGAGCATTAAGTAATTTATCAGTGCGTTAGTGTTCATGTTGAAAACTGAAAAATGCATGAAAATTATTTATTTATAGACCTTCGGCTCCAGACGCCATAACAGCTGCGTACAGCACAAAGAGTTGCAGCAACCAACCCGGACCATCATGAAGAAGGCTGAGAAAGACCACTGGCCAATTTATTCGTTTGAGTTGTGTATAATGTGGTATTTTTATGCATTTTTCAGTTTTCAAAACCATTCAAGGGCAATTCAGACATGAAAGTCAGTCGATGTCGTAATTCAAGTATTTCCTGCCATTGAATTCGTGCAACGAATGACTGAACACGAATTCAACCCGAGTACGATTTAAAACACCATTCTTGAAACAGTTTTCTTTTTGATCAGTCAGTATTATCAATAATAATCTGATTATCAATAATATTCTTAATAATAATGATATTACCAATTATCAATATTAATTCAAATCTTTCTTCTCCAACCTCGAAATCCGACAGAAATGTTACTTCAACTTTCAGAACGACGATAAGGAGTTTTTCCGATGATGCCACTACGAAACTCCCGGATAATATTTGAATATCGCATGTACGTCTCATGCCATGGATCAAGACAGTGACAGTGCATG